TGATAGATGTAAATTATTTTCTGCGAAAAATGTTGTTGTTGATGCCATTGTTATTTGATCTTTTCCACCAAGTACTACTTTATACATACAAGTAACGCTCGTCCCCAGACTCGCTTAGCTCTTTCCCATAGAACTGCATCCTCTTCATATTTATTGAAAACCTTGCTCTTCTTTGTTGTTCCTTACTCTTAGCACATACTCGCATATCACTGAGTAGTAAACACAGATCAAAACATACTTGAACTGCCGATACCAGTGGCTTCTCGATCTAGCCTTTAACAAAGAAGTAAAGCGTTCGTAATCGTATACGCAAGAAAGCCAACAGTTTATGATCGCCACACTCTAAACTATAAGTAGGCGAGCAATTGTAGACCCATAAAAGTGCATGACCCGAAAACTCTATTTCTATCAGTTCATGTCGCTTCTCCCAATTGACACTCCTTCAACTTCAGTAGTCTGAACAAATGAGGCGCACATTTGAAGTTTTCGTAACGAAATACTTCAAGAAATGTCTTTTTCTTAAAATCGGTCTTCGATGTTTTTTTGACCTCTCCCCTCTGTAACCCCCTCGGCCCGCCATGGTCATCCAACAGATCTCAGATTCGAACTCTCCACAACGAAATACCTCAAGAAATGTCTTTTCCTAAAAACTGGTGTTCGATGTTCTTTTGACCTTTCCCTTCTCAACTGCCTCCCTCATCATAGTCACCCAACTGACCTCAGATTCCTAGTCTCTGTATCAAAATACCTAAAGAAATGTCCTTTCCGACGAAATTGGTCTTCGATGTTTTTTTAACCCTGCAAGCACACAAGCAAGCAAGCAAGCAAGCAAACAATTTATTTTTACTGGACTCTTCTCTACGAGAAAGAGAATATCATTTAAGTACAAAATGATAGGTTGCTTTTATTGATATCAAATATAGCACATTCTCTTGTAAGACTCTTACTTAATTGCATTTCTTCAGTGAATATATCATATCTTACAATCACTATGTGATATTCTTCACGATGTATTTGATATACTATAGTTTATAAGATATCTCTCCTTCTAAATTTTTATAAACGATAATTTATGATAAATATATGTGAGCAATGTAGAATACCTGGAAGAATTTAGATTCTTACAATAGATTATGTTAATACTAATAAACAAATGTATATGAACTCATTATTCAAATTGAATAGATAAAACTTATATGCTATAGAAAAAAATATGACATATTTTTATGATTAGACAACTTTATGTTGTTTTATCTTTTCTTTAGTTTTATTTGAAGTATTATGTTATTAACAGATCTCAGCATCTATAAAAAGAATAAACATCATTTTCATTTCCCACTAAAGTTCTATACATTAACTTGTAGTGGAAATTCGATATTTATGTAAGTATAAGAATTAATTTTTTGATAAAAATTTATAGTACTTTGAGAAGGTGAGATTCATGTATATCCGCTTTATTTTTATTTTATAGAATACTGCAGTTGACGTTCAGTTATTTAAAGCATCAAACATTCTCGATAGAATTTTCACTCATTGGCAAGAAAGACAAAGAAATGCTTTCGTTCCACAATTAGCTCTATTTAATTGTTAGATAGTAACAACCTTTGATCCATTGATTTTTTTGATAGGATCTTGTAAATCAACCGATAACTAATTAACAAATACGAGAATTGTATTATACCTAAAACAATTTAAGTATACAGAAACTTCTTTTACGAAGACGATACTCAAAGATATTTTTCTATCCGACGACGAAATAAAGGTATCTATGAAATGAGCTAAGAAGGCTTTTCATCAACTTTCTTGCTGATAATTTAGAGTACTTCATCGAAGTGAATAAGTGCAATTTTAAAGGATACAAAAATGACCTTTTTTTTAATCATGTAAAAAGAACATTTACAATAAATTATATTCTTTTCAGATAATATAATCGTTTTTTCAACAACAAAAGAATAAAATGGCTTCAACGTTTATTGCATCACTTGATTTTGCTAGAAAAGAAATAGTTATTTATTTCGATATTCCCATATTTATCATGAGTATTATTGGTGGATGTCTTAATCTTATTATTTTTCTTAGTCTGAAAACATTTCGACAAAGTTCATGTGCATTTTATTTAACTATTAAATCAGCTTATGATCTTGGTCTAACCATTGAAAGTCTATTGCCTTATATCATGCGTTGGGGATTTGGAACAGATTGGGGACTACAATCATTGTTCTTTTGTAAAATAAGAAATGGCATGGCTACTGTATTTCAATCAGGTTCAATAACATGTTTATGTTTAGCTGTTATTGATCAATATTTTGCTACTTGTTCCCGTGTCCATTGGCGAAAATGCTGTAATATTAAACTAGCTCATCGTCTTACTGCAATATTTACCATTATTTGGATTTTACAGGGCATTCCATATGTTGTATTTTATAATCATATTATTTCACCTTCAACAAATACAACTGCATGTGAAATCACAAATGAAAAGTTTAACGAGTATCTAATTTATGGTTATTATTTTACTATTTCAAATTTGTTACCATTCATATCAATTATATTTGGATTCATGGCTTATTATAATGCGCGATATTTAACTCATCGAACAGTTCCTCTTATACGACATGAATTAGACAAACAATTAACAGTAATGGTTCTTGTTCAAGTTCTCATTAATTTCTGTACTGTGTTACCATTCAGCACCGCCAATATGCTCAAAAAAATTACTGCAACATCGAGTGATCCTATATTTCAAGCTAAAATCAGTTTCGCAGCGTCTGTCACTTTGAGTTTTTACTATTTGAGTTGTGCGGTAAGAATTTTATCGATAATTGTTCATTCCATGACATACTAATTTCCTTTAACTTTTGTTTTTTCTGTATAATTCTAGAGTCCATTTTACACATATATTTGTGTATCACAACGATTTCGTCAACAATTAAAGTATGTTTTGTTTGAAATGCATATCAAACGATATTGGCAGGAAAGAATAATTCATAATCAAATAGCAGTGGAAATCACGACAAACGTTTAATCATGAATCTCTTAATAAATATATTATTTAATGTTGTAAAGTATTTTATAAGTGCAAACATAATTTGAAGTAAATTGACAATAGACATCTCTTTTATTAAACTATAAAAAGATATGCCTGTTATCAATTTGCTCAAATATTATTTTTGTATCCTTTTTACTTACGTATTGTATTTTTTTAGTTATGCATCGTTTACTTAAATATTATTGCTTTTATCTCTAAGATTTGTATTCAAAATAAATATCTTCATTTGTAAAATAATACTGCCCTTTATGAATCAAATTAAGTCAATCGATAGGAGAATCTGCAATTACTATCAATTTTTTATTATTTTAATGACAAGAAAATACAAAAAAGTTCATTCTTATAGTTATCTATTATTTTTTGTTAAGTAATTGTCGAATTATAGATGTCACAGTGGATTCCCCTACTAGTTATCATATATATTTTAGTAAGAATAAGTAAAACATGCAGTTAATTTACAAAACTAACTCGACTAAAGGATACTCAACAGTGAGTAAATTGTAGATTGAGTAGTATAAGAAGATTTAGTAGTTTCTTTTCTGTAATAATTTTCAAGATTCATAAAAAATGTCCTCGAATATTGTTATTCTTATACTAGGAGGTGTGGGTGTTCCTTCTTCAATGACACCCACACCCGCATCCTCAAAAATGTTACGAATAATTTCTAAAATTTGTTCATTATTCTGCTGATATCTGTATAAGAGAACATATTTTTTTGCATCCTTCTTTCATTTGTTATTATTCACAAATCATTATCTATTATTGATATTTGTTTTCTGTTAAATTGAATAAAACTAGGTTGTTTCTTTTTAGTTACATTCTCCAATAACTTACTGTCAAAATATTTTTTTCCTCTATTCTTATACACAATGATGTCAATGGGAATTATCCTTTTTTATTGAAATTATCAATAAATGAAAATAATGAATCCATTTGCTTTTTCAAAACTCATATGAAATATCATGTATTATTTACTGTAAATATAAAAGAAAGTTCGTGATATCGAAATTTTGTAGAAAGGATGTGAAAACAAAGTATTTCAAACAAAATTTAATGTTATTCTTGTTAAGGATATATCGAATATCATGCCTTAACCAAGGAAATACAACGCTTCTTGAGCAATAAAATAGAACTTTTTTTACCACAAAATGTTTTTGTTAGTTTGTATTTAATTCAAAGAGAAAATAAAACGGTATCGTGTTATCAGAAATGTATTGCGCAATTGATTTTATTCTTATCAAAGGTGGGTGAGTGTGGATGTGAGTATTCCTTCTTCAACGACACCCACACCCACACTCTCGAAAAGAATGACAAATATAAATATGTCTGCGAAGGTCATTTATATACATACGTGCGTATGCGCATTATCTTATCATCCTACTTTGCCACTACGTTTTTATTATTTACAGAGTTGTTATATGTACACGCGCGCGAGCAACTAAAAAATAGAATTATTTCACACAGAAGTAAACAAAACCTTCTTTCATTTATTTATGAACTATTCTTTACAATCTCTGTTTTATAAATTCAATATTCCTTTTCATAGTTATAATATCAGGATGAGTTGAAGGTAATACACGTTGCCTGATGTCTAGAGCACGTTCAAAATATGACAGCGCCTTCCAGTAATCTCCCATCTTAAAACACACAAAACCGATGCCGTAGCATGTAGCAGCTAGATCAGGATGATTCGAAGGAAGACTTTTTTGTCGAATCTCAAGTGCTTGTTCGTGAGATGAAAGCGCTTTCGAGTACTGCCCCATGTCGTCATACACACTACCGATGTTGTGATATGAAGTAGCCAAATCAGGATGATTTGAAGAAAGACTTTTTTGACCAATTTCAACCGCTTTTTCGTAAAATGAAAGCGCATTCCAGTGCTCTCCCATCTTGTAATACACACTACCGATGTTGTTGTATGACTGCGCAAAATCAGGATGATTCGAAGGAAGAGTTTTTTCTCGAATTTTAAGTGCCTTCTGATGAGATGAAAGCGCTTTTGAGTGTTCTTCCATATTGTTATACACACCACCGATGTTATTGTATGATGTAGCCAGATCAGGATGATTCAAAGGAAGAGTTTTTTCTCGAATTTCAAGTGATTTCTCGTAAAATGGAAGTGCTTTCGAGTTGTCCCCCATGTTGTCATACACCATGCCGATATTGTGATATGACTGCGCAAAATCAGGATGATTTGAAGGGAGAGTTTTTTGTCGAATTTCAAGTGTTTTTTTGTAAAATGAAAGTGCTTTCGAGTACTCTCCCATTTTGTCATACATCTTACCGATGTTGTTGTATAAAGTAGCCAAATTAGGATGGTTTGAAGGAAGACTTTTTTGACAAATTTCAAGTACTTTTTCGAAGAATGAAAGTGCTTTCGAGTACTGTCCTATGTTTTCATACACCAACCCGATGTTGTTGTATGAAGCAGCTAATAAAGCATGGTTTGAAGGAAGAGTTTTTTTAGATATTTCAAGTGCTGTTTCGTAATATGAAAGTGCTTTCGAGTACACTCCCATGCTACCATAAACGAAGCCAGCGTTGTTGTATGAAGCAGCCAATTCTGGTTGATTTAAAGGAAGAACTTTTTTTTGAATTTCAAGTCCATGTTCGATATACCGGATAGATTTTTCATAATTACCTTGATTGTAATAAACATTTCCAAGCTGAATATAATAAATGGCCTTTTCACCCTCATTAGATGCCTGTTGAAGCAATACGTTAAAAAGCTCTTCTGCTTTATTAAATTGGCCAATTTTAAGCAGTAAGCTACCCAGTCTTTGCCATCCGGTACCAGCAGTCTCTTTTCGTATCCAATCAGTAAGTAATCGTAGTTGTGAATCATCATCCGACGTTAATTGTAATTCAACTTGATAAAGTTGATTCTCACTGTCTATTTGTTTAATTGCACTCACTCGAAAGACGGTGTGCATTGAGAAGAGAATTTCTTCTTCTTCCGTTAAAGAACTCATCTCTTTGATGGAGGCAAATGATGTTGATTTAATACAAGGATCAATGGACATTATGAAAAGAATGCCAACTTTATTTGATTCTGTTAATGCAGCTTGAGCAAAACCGAGAGACACTTCTTTATTTGTACTAGTAGACAAGAAATTGTTAAATGATATGAGTCCACCTTTAGTTTTTTGAAGTTTTTCGAAGTCTGATATCATAAGACCTTGTCCTCGATATACTAAAAAAGGTTTTTTTTCATAATCATTGACTTGTTGTCTGTACAGCTGTTGAATTTGCTGATGTACATCACGTAGAAAGAAGCCCATATTAATGATTATGTCAGCATCCATTGTTCGAAGAGCATAGTTAAGCATATAATAAATGTTGGATTGAAAAGTATACCACCAAATAGCTAATTGAGGATTGTATTCTTTCTCAAAACGGTCAATAATGGTTGACGATACGCTGTCATTATGTCGACAGTAAGTAATAAAGTCTTTGATAGCCTCTTTATTATGTTCCATATCAAGAAGAATTTCCTTGAATAGCTGTGTATACATAAAGGTCGGTTCCAAAAGATTCAAACTATCACTTGGAGCCATTTCATTTACCGTGATAAAACTCATGGCTATTGAGTCTTGATTGAACTGCTTAATACCGATTTGTAATGCTTGGCATAGATCATCGATGTTGTTATCAATGCTCTTGATTTTGTCGTATTTTTTTGGCCATTCTTCATATAGGGTTTTAATACCATTGAGGATATAAACACTATCCAGCTGTGGAATATCATGGATGTGGGGCACTAGTTGTTGAAACATAGTATCCTTGACAATGAGAAAAAACTTCATATCTTCTTGAGCATCTGTAAGGAAGTCAATGCATGCATCGAGCTGCGTAAAGACATTGACATCACCAGTAATAGCTTGTATTTGTTTTACTGTATTTTCATAATCTTCGGTTTTTTGGTCGATGCTGGTATCCACCCATAGAAAAAGGTAGTTTTGTGCCATACGTTGTCGTGGTTGACGAATATTTGGCGATGCGATATATTTGGATGATGCAACAGCGTTTTGATCTACTCCTTTTGATCTTGTTATATTTTTATGCTAAAGGTGAACTTGTCAGCAGATGTTGTTGTTTGAATGAAAAGAAAAATCACCGTTCTTTTTTATATACGCAGTAACTTGTTTATTCTTGATTTTTCGATGTCGCGCAAGGACAAATTTCACTTAGTTACGTTTGAAAATAATATTGTACAGAGCAAGAAGCAGGACAAAGCAAACACATTTATTGGTAACATTATCGAAAGAACGAATCAAACAGAAGCCAACAATCGAATAAAGGTAGAAAGAGAACTACAATTCTGTCACGGAATTAGTTTTTCTTTTACACTCTTTGTCAGATGTCATATTAATGTTTGATGAATGTATGAAATCTATTATGACGAAACTAATGAAAAAAGCTATGTGAAGGGTATGGGTATCGATGTTGAGTGAACCTAATGTCAATCCACATCTCCACGGATTGCACACTTTATTCACTTTGATACACCCTCAATATCGTTAGAAATTTAATTCGGAGCGAGTCAGCCAACGAGACTATTATGTTACATTGATCCATATCTCCTCTTCGAATTGTTTCAAGGCCAGCATATTATTTCACATATATTAATGTTATATCGTAGTTTTCAGTGAGCAGTACCTATGCTAAAAAAATTACATTGACTCTATGAGAAATACTGACCATCT